CGTATGACTTATTGTAGTAATGTGGGCTAGTAGTTTTAGTGCAGCTTTTGTCCGCGTTAGTTTTGCTTTTAGCATATTAATTTGTTGCCATTTTGAGATTGGTATTTTAGATATCTTGTTAATGTATTTGATTGTACTGTTGAAGTTTATCTAATAAAGTTTCTATTGAATTAAAATTTAAAAAAACTCATGTGTATGTTATCGAATTCTAACCATTTATGCATGTGTGATTCGTACCAGATCAACGTTTAAAAATTATCGATGCATTGTGGGTGATTATGAGCAACCATCATAGCCGTTACGAGCGATCAACATTAAACGTTCAAATTTCATAAATACACAGTGAGTGTTTATGAGCGACTGACATTAGCAAAATTCAATACATTTTAAACTTGAATTGAAACACTTTTAAGGTCCTCACAATATTCTGGTCAAAAAGCCAACCTGGCAAATTGTTGATTGGATGAGCTGCAAGTTGATTTGAACAGTCTGGACTAGACAATATCTTTCACCTTCAAAAATCATTTACGACGTCGTTTTACCATTTCCCAGCTTCAACTTTTGGCAGTACCATAAACCAACCCACATTTCACCAGAGCGCGTGGTTATTCTCCACTAATAATATCATCACAGGTGTCTCCAAGATCCAATACCCTCCTTCACTCTTCAGAAGACGCGTGTATGAATAAAAGGAACATTCCTCAATTTCTCTGATTAATTATCTTTCATTATATTTTTTTCTTTTTCTTTTGAAAGTTGTTATAATTTCTTTGCTGACAGAAAAGGAATTCCAAACGCACAGACAGAGAGCTGCAGAGAGAGAATTTCAATGCGGATAATCTGAAATCGTTCAAAACCCTAGAATTGAAAAAGGTTTTGGATTTGTTCTTGTATTTGCTCCTTCTCAATGGGGTTGTGGGAAGCTTTTCTCAATTGGCTACGAAGGTAGAGTTTCTATTCTGTTTATAGTTTGGATTTTTAGTTCATCTTGATTTTGTTGTTCTCGTTGTTTGGATGCTGAGAAAGTCTGGGAAATAGAATACCAGTTTGATTTTATGGAAATTTGAAATCTCTTTTAAGTTTTTTTTTTTTTTTTTTGGTCTAAAACAATCTCTTTAAGTTTTCGTTGTCGTGGAGCGGGAAAAATTGGAATTTCCCGCTAAGTTAATACTAATACCATGGATAACGACGTAGGACTTGGAATTTGTGATTTTTTTATTGGATTTTCCATCTATGTTGCATTGTTTTCGCTTCTTCGAAATTGGGTTTAGCTTTGAGAAGAGTTTTAGATTTTCTTGCTTTTAGTTTGGCTGATGGGAACAGGCGAAAAAGAAAAGAGCTGAACTTTTGATTCTCAAATTGTCAGTATGTAGAATTCGTGAATCAAGACATGATTGGGAATTGAATTAATCTAGAACCAATGTTTCTGGTGTTTTTTTTACTGAAAAACTGTCAAATTTGGGTCTGGGAATAGTTTTGGAGGCTAAATTTGGTTGATCTTTGGAGAAAAGAATTATAGTGCTAGGGAACTAGTTTAAACCAGATTATTTCCTTCAATGATGGAGGTGTCTTCGTGCCTGTGCGCACGGTTGATTTTCGTTTTTGGAGAATAAAGTCGGTAATTTATATCTGCATATTGTTGCTTCCATAGGTTTTAAAAGGATTGGATATGTATGTACTGGTGCTGAATTAGCATATCTCAACTGTTGTCTTTGAATAACATATTCTGCTAAAGACTTGAATCTGTTTTTTGGTTTATTTTAGTGTTTCCTGGATTGGTTTATTTATGGTATTTTTAGGTTGCCTGGAATTTGATCAACTAAGAAGCCACTGAATTTACTATTTCTTAATGTGTGTATCCAACTGATGTTCATTGCTTACTTTACAGCTCACAGTGTTTATCAGTCACCAAATGTATGCATTAAGTTGGGCAGAATGATGTCACAACTTATAAGTGAAATTGTTGAATATTTCAGTTTGGTTACCTACCCTTTTTTGGTTGGAAACAACCTTTTACAATTGATTAAATAACTTGCTTATTAGTATCTTTTCTCCCCTCTTGTAGCCTCTTTTTCAAGCAAGAAATGGAGCTATCTTTGATAGGCCTTCAAAATGCTGGGAAAACATCACTTGTAAATGTTATTGCAGTAAGTAAATATATTCATTTGGTTGTGGTGCAATATGTTTGTATGTCCTTTTCTCCCTGTGTTGGTTTCGTGCTGATGGCTAAATTTTGCTTCTTGATCTTATTCTTAGACTGGTGGATATAGTGAAGACATGATCCCGACGGTATGTCATCTTTCTCAAGAATTACACAAGTTTAAATTTGTCTCTAGGAAAATGTCTTCAATTTTTTTATTCAGAACTTGTCATTTGTATTGCCAAAATTATATGTTGTAATTTAGTATTACTTTAGATATCTCACATATGTATCTTTCATATCTACAGGTTGGATTCAATATGAGGAAAGTAACAAAAGGGAATGTCACAATAAAGTTGTGGGATCTTGGTGGTCAACCAAGGTTTCGAAGCATGTGGGAAAGATATTGCCGTGCAGTTTCTTCTATTGTGTATGTATTTATCTCTTTTATATGTACACTTTGTAAGCAACGTTATCATTGCAGAGTTGATAATTGCTGGTCAGATACTAGAGATGCCGTCTTTTCTTGACATTTTTCTTTATATATTTATTTACTAGCCTTGCGTAAGATGTTTATCTTTTGTAAGCAACTTTCTGCTGAAATCTTGGCAAGTTAATTTGATCATATAACTGAATTCACCAGCTGTGTTGTATTTATTTTTATATTTTTCCGATTTTTGTCTGTTGCAGTTATGTTGTGGATGCTGCTGATCATGATAACTTGTCGGTCTCGAGAAGAGAACTTCATGACTTGTTGAGTAAGCCATCACTAAATGGCATTCCCTTGCTAGTACTGGGTAACAAGATTGACAAAAAGGAAGCTCTGTCTAAGCAGGATTTGACACAAGAATTGTAAGTGAAGAATCTTTGTCTAAGCTTTGTTTGGAACACTCATCAAACAAACTTCTTGTGCTTGATATGAAGTGCAGCATAACATTGATGATTTGCACATTCTTGGACTTAGGAAAATGAAGCATAAAGTTCATTTTAATTTTATACATGAATCATGTATTAAGCATTGGTTTCTGCGGTGCAGGGATCTCAAGTCCATTACTGATAGGGAAGTTTGCTGCTTCATGATTTCTTGCAAGAACTCCACCAACATCGATACAGTCATCGACTGGCTAGTAAAGCATTCCAAATCAAAAAATTGAGTTTTCTTGTTCGTACCGGATGACATACTTCCATTTCTGCGAGTGGATTTCCTTCAATCCATTTTCGAAGTGACTTTCGCTGTTTGCCCATTCGGGTTTGTTGATATATGACCATGATCTTCTGTTATGTGCTTGGTGCAAACTACCTTGTGTGTTGCTTTGGGGTAGGCATATGGGTCATTGCAGCACCCTTGTCTCACTGTTGGAAGTTGGAACGCTATGATTTGAGTTTTATTGTATAGGATTTGACTCTGTGAATTGTAATGTACAGTCGTTGCATATGATTATTTTGGTTAACGAGTTTGAGTCTCTGAGTTATGTAATCTGCAGTGTTTGGTTACCCCTTTCACTCTTTTACCAATTGAAATTGTAGAAATTAAAACATCTAGCTAACAACCAGCACTCAACAATCCCAAATTCTTTTTATTCAACAACTATTCTCTAGAAAATTTAAGCTTAAAAGAGCTCTTCCAACAAAGTGAATATTTTATCAAAGGACCATTAATAATAATAATTCAAAACTCTCAAGTCAAGATTAAGATGTTGGTTTTAGTCGCCAACGGGTTTGGTACCCTCAGTTGTACCCGGCATGTTTGTCCTTATGTTGCAATGTGATTCTGCTGTTAGAATGACTTTTAAAGACTCTGTTAAGTGATTATGTGCAAATGAGAACCCGCAGTTGTACCCTTAAGGCATGTTTGTTCTTATATTGAAATGTGATTCTGGTATGAGAATGACTGTTAAAGATTCTGTTAAGTGATAACGTGCAAACGAGAATCCGTTTTTTTTAAACTTAAATTGATTAAAATATTAATAAAATATTACCATATACTAACTTATTTCTAGGACGTTCCCGCTTCACATAGGCGAGAAATTCAAGGCTAAAGAACACCCACGCGGCGCCAAAATATAAAGCAGAGTCCAGAGACAACAGTGAAAGATTAAAGATTCCTTTCGGCTTTAAAGCTCCTTTTCAGCTCAAAACTTCAAAAACCCACCACCACCCAAAAGAAATTCGAAAATCTTAAAACTCCACACAAACTCAAACTGCAGAACCCCATAATTTTCTTTTCCTTACTCCTCTGTGTTTTCTTTTTTTCCAATTTTTGGTCAGCCCACCTTTTTTCTTGTGTGTTGAAGTTGATGATGAGAAAGATCAAGACTTCTTTGCAAACTGCAAACTTAGCTCAGGTGAGAAAAAGGTGGCTTATTTGGGTTTCATAATAACATCTGCTTCTCCTTCATCATGCCTTTTCGTTGTTTAATTTATTTTTTTTGTGATATTGCAATTAAAAAAGTAATTGTTTTTTAAAATAGCATAGTTTTAGAGTAATTTGAATCCTCTGTTAGAATTCTGACCCAAAAAAAATGAAGGGATCCTCTGTTAGAAGAAAAATATCGCCGACAAAAAAAAAAAGGGGGCATTCCGAGAATCGAACTCGGGACCTCTCGCACCGTTAAAGATTCTGTTAAGTGATGATGTGCAAATGAGAACCCGCAATTGTACCCTTAAGGCATGTTTGTTCTTATGTTGAAATGTGATTCTACTATGAGAATAACTGTTAAAGATTATGTTAAATGATGACGTGGAAACGAGAACCCGTTTCTTTAAACTTAAATTGATTAAAATATTAATAAAATATTACCATATACTAACTTGTTCTAGGACGTTCCCGCTTCACATAGGCGAGAAATTCAAGGCTAAAGAACACCCACGCGGCGCCAGAATATAAAGCAGAGTCCAGAGCCCACAGTGAAATATTAAAGATTTCTTTCGGCTTTAAAGCTCCTTTTCAGCTCAAAACTTCAAAAACCCACCACCACCCAAAAGAAATTCGAAAATCTTAAAACTCCACACAAACTCAAACTGCAGAACCCCATAATTTTCTTTTCCTTACTCCTCTGTGTTTTCTTTTTTTCCAATTTTTGGTCAGCCCACCTTTTTTCTTGTGTGTTGAAGTTGATGATGAGAAAGATCAAGACTTCTTTGCAAACTGCAAACTTAGCTCAGGTGAGAAAAAGGTGGCTTATTTGGGTTTCATAATAACATCTGCTTCTCCTTCATCATGCCTTTTCGTTGTTTAATTTATTTTTTTTGTGATATTGCAATTAAAAAAGTAATTGTTTTTTAAAATAGCATAGTTTTAGAGTAATTTGAATCCTCTGTTAGAATTCTGACCCAAAAAAAATGAAGGGATCCTCTGTTAGAAGAAAAATATCGCCGACAAAAAAAAAAAGGGGGCATTCCGAGAATCGAACTCGGGACCTCTCGCACCCAAAGCGAGAATCATACCACTAGACCAAATGCCCTCATGATGACAACTAATATCTGCAAATCATAATTAGCTGGCTTTAGGATTGATTGGTTTTGTTTTGTTAACCCATTGATCCAGCTGTTTTCTTTTTTGCTATTTACATGTTTGACTTCTAAGGTAATGTTTTACCCTGAAGTTGGTTGTATGACTGCGACAATAAAAATTCAAAATTCTAGTAAAAATACACACTAGGGTAGGGAGGGGCTTCATGTTGATTAGCTTAAAATTAAGGATTTGATTAACGCATAATTAAGAAACGGCATGATGCTACTTTGCGTGGTACGATTGTCACGTCGGTTTCTCTAGGTTACAGATTTAACACATTCTTGCTTGCTAAATATTTATTGAAGCTATAGATTGAAAACTGTTTTTGAGTTGATTTTCAGTTCACATGCTTCATGCTTTGTAAACTATTACAAGTGTGGCATTCATTTCCTGAAACAACTTGAACTATGTCCAAGCAAGAATCATTGGACTAGATCAACGGGGTTTCGAGAATCGAACTCTTTATCTTTTGCATCCAAATCATATGTTGCACGCATCACATTTTTTCGATCAGGCAACTCATGTGTTTCTACAGTATCTGATTGAGTCGAGTTTTTTCAGTAATTTATATGTTCCTGATACTATGTGAATGTGGGTAGATTTCTAGCTATAATGAAATAGGAACAAAGCAAAAAAGAAGGAAAAATATCCCCAAAACAAAAAAAAAGGGGCATTCCGAGAATCGAACTCGGGACCTCTCGCACCCAAAGCGAGAATCATACCACTAGACCAAATGCCCTCACAATAGCAATGAACACCTGAAAATGCTAATTATCTTAATCTAGGATTGGTTTGCTTACAATTAAGTATTGATAGAAATCTGCATAAGTATTGATAAAATGTTGCAAGTGGTCCATTTTGTGAAAGCACCTTTGGACCCCCAACCTTGCATTAGTGGCATTTCAAGAATTGAAAACTCTTCATCTTTTGCATCAAAATCAAGAGGAGTATGTTGCATGCATAGATCACATTTTGTTGTCAGGCAATTGATGTGTACTTGTCAACAACAAAAGCATGTGTTGTATAAATTTCTGTTCATATTCTTGTTGGCTTTAGCAGATTGAGGGATTTCAAAAAAGTGTTTGGTTGAGCAATCATGGAGAAGGATACATTATGCAATTATGTACATGGATTTCTGGCTAAAATTGAACAAGAAGAAAATAAAAAGTTGGGCAAAAGGGGCATTCCGAGAATCGAACTCGGGACCTCTCGCACCCAAAGCGAGAATCATACCACTAGACCAAATGCCCTGTCAATGATATTCTTCTTGTGCAGTGTATAATTATTGTAATATAAGATTGGTTTTCTTTTGCCATCCTATTGATCTGGTTTCTTTTGTTTTCTAGTCTACATGTGCCTGTGGATATGGGATCTGACCTTCAATGTAGTTTCTGTAACTGTTACAGTAAAACACATTAATTGTGGTCCACACAAGATGAACTATTTAATCAAAATGTCCTGATGTGTGCATTGGATCAACTTAATATTAATATGTTTAATAAGAAATTAGGATTTAAATTGCACCTCTACTCCACTCATGTGGGCAGAGGTTCGAAATTCTCAAGCACCCAGTGAATATTTATGTCAATCCCCTCCCCAATCGCTTGTACTAAGAAAAAAAAATAATTGCAGATGTGATAGGGACAAAGATAATTGGAATTAGCTCCATGTTTCAATAAACCTAATCTTTTGACAGATGTCAGGCCAATTGTTTATGAGTTTAGGCCCATTCCCAATTGCAGGGTATTTTTTTTGGCACATTTATCACAAAGTGGAACAAGCATGCTCAGACTGTAATTCAAAAAACTGAAAATAAATAAAATGAGAAACAGAATAAATAAACATGTTCAGCTTACTACCCTTTGGTAAGGAGAAAATCCTTTAAGAGAGGGGGACACCAATTTATAATTAGGCCAGTTCATGCACAGCTAAATTGTTCACATCGATCATTAACAAGCCTAAAGAAGATATAATCATAATTTATAATTATACATGTTGACCAAAAGAATTATAATTAGGAGGGAAAAAGAAACCTGAACCCAGCTAGGTGCTTCATGATGAATTTTGGTAATCGAGAAACCCTAAGGCCCATCACCTTTGAAAAAGAAAGAAATATCGTGGGTGGTTTTTTTTCTTTTGGGCCAAAGTAAGTAGAGGTAAAACTCACACTCAAAGGCAATAATTCTATAATGAGGGCCTTATTTAAGGCACTTAGATGAGGTTTCATCTCTTAATTGTTGGATTAAATTAGTTAGTTTAATCCGAGGGTGAAGATATAGGACCTTATCTAAGGGCCTTACCCTCATTATAAAATGACTCCATGTACGGGTACCATGAGGATTTGAACTCAGGATCACTTGACAGCATACCAAAGACCTGGGCCAATTCAACTAACACCGCATTCATCGTGGGTGATTTACTTATCAGCAATTAGGACAACAGTTTATCTACTATTTTAGTCATCAACATTAACTATTAACTTTTATGCATGTTTTGGACCCATGATTTTGTTCATGGTATTTGCCAAATTATCATTCATAAAAGCGTGAAATTATAGGAAAATAGTAAATAAAAGTAGATATTATGACAAAAGAAAAAGGCTCGAAATGATATATTGATGAAATGGAATTGCTTTAAGTTCGGACAAAATGATTGCCAAATGGCCAGCCATTGCCATCTGTTCATCTATGAATTTGCTTTCTAGTCACCCGCAATTCTCTCTCAACCACCACTTTTGATCTCCTTCCGCTTTCTTCTCTCGTTTTCGATAAAGAGGCAGAGGAGAGAAAAACAGAGAGGGATTAAGGGAATTTTATTATTTTGTTCATTAGGGATTAAAAGGCAAGCTGCTGCAGGCTCTCTCTTGGTCTTCATTTTTAAAGGGTTGGTTGGTGGTGAGCTGAGGTTGTGGATTGGAAGCCGTAGACCATGGCTACCTTTGCAGGCACCACACAAAAGTGCACGGCTTGCGAAAAGACGGTGTACTTGGTCGATAGGTTGGCCGCCGATTCCAGAATTTACCACAAGGCTTGCTTCCGATGCCACCACTGCACGGGTACCCTCAAGGTATATATTTGCATGCATGTCAATCTCTCTCTTTCTCTTCATTATATTGCCAATGGATGTATTAATTTATTTAAGATCATACGTATACATTTTTTTCTCGCTATTTGTACCATCCTAATTAATCTTGTCGCACACAATTAAGTTATACTTCTATTAGAGATATGGTACATAAGATCGTTAGTTTGAAGTTGGTGAATCGACAAAATTAGAGATATTCAATTTTGTGTGCTTGTTTCATGCATGCACTTGAGGTGTCAATTAGAGATATGGTACATAAGATCGTTAGTTTGAAGTTGGTGAATCGACAAAATTAGAAATATTCAATTTTGTGTGTTTGTTTCATGCATGCACTTGAGGTGTCAATTAGAAATTTTGATCGGTGCATGTGTGTACAACATTTGCATTCAGGAAAAATGTGTAAGTGGAACAATAAATTTTTTAGCTTTCTTCAATCCTTATGGTTTTGCTTAATTTCAAAGTAAAAATTCAGTAACTTAGTTGAAGGAAAGCTCAGTAATATCGTCTTCTCTATCTTCTCCATTTGCAGCTGAGCAACTACTGTTCATTTGAGGGGGTCCTATACTGCAGGCCTCACTATGATCAGCTCTTCAAGCGAACTGGCAGCCTGGACAAGAGTTTTGAAGGTAAAAACTCAAAAATAATTCACTTCTGAATTCCTTAAAAGCACTATGTAAATAAAAAATATTCATTTACCAACTTTTCTTTGTCAATTTTCTTTCAGGGACACCGAAAATCTTGAAGCCGGAGAAACCTACTGCTGATAAAGAGGTAAATGATCTCTCTTTTTAACCTAAGTGAGGTAAAATAAAAATAAAAAATTCCCAAGTCTCTCATATGGGACTTATGATATAAGTTGTGAGACCCATATAGGATCTTGTGGAGTTGATATGAATTCATGAATTCTCACTGTGTTGATATAAATTCAAGCACTCTAGAACCCTAAAGGAAGTGATTTTTATTGGTTTGAAGATAAATAATTTATATATGTGCTAATAAGAACTAAAGATAGGTTGGCCGCCGATTCCAGAATTTACCACAAGGCTTGCTTCCGATGCCACCACTGCACGGGTACCCTCAAGGTATATATATTTGCATGCATGTCAATCTCTCTCTTTCTCTTCATTATGTTGCCAATGGATGTATTAATTTATTTAAGATCATACGTATATTTTTTTTCTCGCTATTTGTACCATCCTAATTAATCATGTCGCACACAATTAAGTTATACTTCTATTAGAGATATGATACATAAGATTGTTAGTTTGAAGTTGGTGAATCGACAAAATTAGAGATATTCAATTTTGTGTGCTTGTTTCATGCATGCACTTGAGGTGTCAATTAGAGATGGTACATAAGATCGTTAGTTTGAAGTTGGTGAATCAACAAAATTAGAGATATTCAATTTTTTGTGCTTGTTCCATGCATGCACTTGAGGTGTCAATTAGAAATTTTGATCGGTGCATGTGTGTACAACATTTTCATTCAGGAAACATGTATAAGTGGAACAATAAAATTTTTAGCTTTCTTCAATCCTTATGGTTTTGCTTAATTTCAAAGTAAAAATTCAGTAACTTAGTTGAAGGAAAGCTCAGTAATATCGTCTTCTCTATCTTCTCCATTTGCAGCTGAGCAACTACTGTTCATTTGAGGGGGTCCTTTACTGCAGGCCTCACTATGATCAGCTCTTCAAGCGAACTGGCAGCCTGGACAAGAGTTTTGAAGGTAAAAAGTCAAAAATAATTCACTTCTGAATTCCTTAAAAGCACTACGTAAATAAAAAATATTCATTTACCAACTTTTCTTTGTCAATTTTCTTTCAGGGACACCGAAAATCTTGAAGCCGGAGAAACCTACTGCTGATAAAGAGGTAAATGATCTCTCTTTTTAACCCAAGTGAGGTAAAATAAAAATAAAAAATTCCCAAGTCTCTCATATGGGACTTATGATATAAGTTGTGAGACCCATATAGGATCTTGTGGAGTTGATATGAATTCATGAATTCTCACTGTGTTGATATAAATTCAAGCACTCTAGAACCCTAAAGGAAGTGATTTTTATTGGTTTGAAGATAAATAATTTATATATGTGCTAATAAGAACTAAATTGGGCTCTTGCAGAATGGCAAGTCAGTCTCAGACTTGTTTGCTGGTACCAGAGAAAAATGCGTGGGCTGTCAGAAGACCGTTTATCCAACTGAGAAGGTAATTAATTTGAAATTTCACAAAAAGAAACAGCTATTGTTTATAAAACTTAAACATCTAGCTAATCTTGATTACTGTCTTCAAAGGTTTCGGTCAATGGGACCCCATACCACAGGAGCTGCTTCAAATGCACACATGGAGGTTGCACCATAAGCCCATCTAATTATATTGCACATGAAGGCAAGCTTTACTGCAAACACCACCACATCCAACTCTTCAAGGAAAAAGGAAATTACAGCCAGCTTGAGAATGAAGGCGAAAAGCATTCCATGACTGAGCAAGTCACTGCTATGGAGATTGCTGCTGAATCATAATCCACTTGAAAAAAGAAAAACCCCCATGCTTACTTGCTCTTTATGTGATTTCCACCATTTCCGTCATTGATGTGTCTTATTTTGTTTCCGGCTCATGATATGTCGGTGCTCTGATGTATCATGACATTGATTGTACTCTGATATGAATAGTTTGTTCTGCGGCTTGTTCCTGCATCTGTTTAATGTATGAGGGTTTTTCTGTAGCATTTTGAAGATTTCAGATTCTTCTACTTTTCCCTGTGTTGGGTCACATTTCTGAAAAGTTTCAAGTCCCTAGTGATGTTTATTCATATTATCATTTGAGGAGGCCAAGAGAATTCATTTTATATACCAGAACAGCTTTCATGTCACCAACACAACACATTTGATTAAGTAATTGGATTACTTAAGTAAAACCCCTAAAACGGTAATTTCCAACGGTTACAAATCACCAAGGTGAAGTAACTTCTAGTAAATTGGTTAATATGCCAGGGCACCATTCCAGTAAATTTGTATGACAAAGGATTGCATCAGCTTTTGTTAGACAAACTCAACCCAATTAAATTATCAATATACTGTACATGAGCAACACATATATACATCCATGCAAGTTCTAAGGGGTTGAAATCCCTAATCACTCGTCGGACAAACAGATTTAAAATACAATCGGTTATAAATGTACAATGACAAGCTACTGCATGAGCCGGTACTCAGCCCTCCTTGACTGAGAGTTTCGTTTTCACCTCTCCTTGTGCTGCAGAT